TTCCTTCCCTCCCTTCCTCTCCTCACCTTCCTCCAAATTAGTGCAGTGTGTAAGAGAAAGATTCGTGCTGTTGGTTTGCAGCAGCGTGACTGTCAAGGCTCGTGTACATACATGAAAGGCAATGGCTGATTTTCTCTGTTGATGATGTCTGTCACTCAGGACTGAGACAAAGCCCCCTGTAGTCTTGACACATCCTGGTTTCCTTCATTGCAAGAGCTCTCCTTGGGAACAGAGCTCTTTTCAACACGTGCTTTTGCTTTTACATCCGTGAGCTTACTGAAGGCTGTGGGCTTGTTTTAGAAAGCACTGTTAGTCTGAAGACAGATTAAATGCGGTATTCAGTAAGGTACATGTAGTACCATACATAATTTCAAAGTGTGTTGGATTTTTTTCCCCTGTTCCTTTAGGGGAAAAAAAAAAAAATGATGCGATCGTGTCTTACAAACTTGGTGGTGTCTGGCAAAGTCTTGGTGAGATGTCAGGTTATGCTGAAGTAATGTCTCAAAGGAGCAGGTCTCCAGCTTCCCAGTTTCGCAGCAGTATGTGTGTGAGAACGCTAGACCCGAGTGTGGTAGCATACATTTTCTGGTGTACCGTACAGAGGTGGACATAGTGCTGCCCCTGTTAGGGGAAAGGCATCTCAGATCTTAACGAAATACTTATTCTTGGCTGCCGGCTCAGAGGGTTGCTAGTTTCTGTTTCACTAAATGACTGGAGCAAGCATTTCTTTTCTGGCAATGAGTCCAGCGAGCTTTTCCCTTCAAGCCTGTGAAGATGCGTCTCATGTCTACATAGCAGTTTAATGGGTGTCTGAAATAGCTGAGGTTTCTTAAAGCAAATGGCAAAAGGTGTGAGATAGTGCTATGCCAGCACCTCTCAATTAGCAGGGTCTTATGCAGCCCTTCTCCTGGAGGCCAAGTCCTTGGCTGGAGGAAGCCTCTAGGGCTGTGCTGTGAGGGGAATCTGGGGCTGAGACTGTGTAGTCTGGGGGAACTTGGTGACCTGAGCTCTTCTTGCTTTGCTGACGAACTGAGAAAAAATAGGCTAGTGATTCACTTTACAAGTCTCTTAAGCTATTGTAAGAGTTTATGGGAGCTCATTATGCAATAAATTATAGATATAAAATAGCAGGTGGCACATCTTTCAAGCAGTGTGCGTGAAAATTCGTCTCGACAAGATTAGGAAAACAGCCCCCAGACCTATCTTCACTGAGCAACTACAAAGCAAGGAAGCTGTAGTTAAGAGAGATGTGGCATTGATGACATGTCTGTGCTGGCGAGCAGGGCAGAATCACACAACCACATAAGCTTGGGGCTTGGAAGGGACTTCAAGAGATAGAGTCCGCCCTCCCTGCTAAAGCAGGTACCCTGCAGTAGGTCGCACAGGGAAGCATGTAGCCAGGTGTTGAATATCTCTGTGGAAGGAGGCCCACCCTCTCTCTGGGCATCCCGCTCAGTGCTCCACCACCCTTACTGTAAACAAGTTCTTCAGCACGTTTGTATGCAACCTCCCATGTTCAATTTTGAGGCCATTGCTCCTCGTCCTATCGCTGCCCACCAGTGAGAAGAGCCTGGCCTCACCCATCTGCCTCCCACCTCACTTTTTATATTTATTAACATTAATCAGATCCCCCCTTGGTCTTTTCCCCACACTGGACAGACCCAGGTTACTCAGTCTTTTCTCCTACGGGAGGTGCTCCAGACCCCAGTTCATTTTGTGGCCCTTTGCTCAACAGTAATTGTTAGCAGAATGATTTCTTTCCTGCTAGTTAGAAAATCATATGCAGTATTGGAGACACCATTTGTAAAACCCAGACACCGTATATTTTCATCAAATGTAGCAATTGTCTCCATCTCTGAGGCTCCTGAAACATAAACCCCCTCAGGGTCCTAGCCGGGCTGCTGTGTGCAAGCTGTGAAAATATTGATGCACTCATTTTATCCTTTGCCTTCCTTGTCCTTCTCTTTCCTTTCTTTATTCCTTACTGGCAGCCACTAGCATAGCCAAGTTATTTCTGCGCCAAGATGAGGAAACTTTCCTCCTCAGCCAACTGTGCTGACACTGCTAACCTTGATTTCCATAAATGATTGAACAGTGTCTCCTGTCTGCAGCACATTTCAGGCTCCACTTACCCGAGGTTCTTGGAGAAAAGCTTAGAGAGCTTTTAATCTTTCCCATCTCTGCCTCCCCATCAGCTTTGGTTCTGACTGTCTGCTCCTTCGTGGCCGTGAGCTGCCCCGACCAGCAGCAGCAGTGCTGGGATGCTTTTCTCTGCAAAATGACTTTTTCCGAGTTGTAGGGTTTTGACATTTATTTTAACAGACTGAAAAAAATTGATGTGGATTAGTATAGTGGAAAGGAGATTTCTGTGGTCGTTGGACAAGCAGTGCTACTTAAACTGTGGGAATTAGGAAGCGTTAAGAGTAATCCGGTCTTTTGTAACACAGAAGCAATTAATTAGCATTTAGAATAAAGAAATTTGGGATGACATTGCTCATTTTTGCAGCATTAAAACTTTTTACAGGCCTGCTGGGTACAAGCGGGACGTTTCTATTATTTGAAGGCTCTGCTGCTGGGAGGAAAACATTAAGGGAAAGGAAGAGAGTATTCTAAAAGGAAAAAGCTACGTGGAAACCTTTGGTGCTAATGGATCAGATCCATTTGCAGCCGTAGTGTTTGCAGACTGTCGTGTATAATGCATTATTGCGCAAAACACAAAATGCTTAAAAGTAATTTGTGGCAATTTAGGTTTTGTCATTGCTTGCACGCTGCTCTGGGGGAATGAGGAGCAAAAGACAAGCTCCCAGACGGGAGAGTTAATAGCTCTAGAAGTGCTGCTCTGCAGGCAGCTGAGTGAAGCTGATGACTCCAAGGCAGAGCTGGGCCTTGGGCAGAGGGGCTGGAATGGAAGCACTGTACCTTGCTGAGGGGTGGAGGTGGAACAGCGCAGGGAAAGTATATGCTTAGTCCTCATCACAGTAAATGCGTGGTAGGTAGGTCATGTGGCAGTCTTTGGAAAAGACCCCTAAACTGGAAGGAGGAGAAATATCACATAATCACAAAATAGTTTGAATTGGAAGGGATCCCTAAAGATCTTCTGGCCCAACTCCTCTGCAGTGGACAGGGCCACATACAGCTCCATCAGGTTGCTTAAAGCGTGACCTTGAATGTCACCAGGGATGGGGCATCCACGTCTCTGAGCGAGACAGGTGCTTCATTCTTTTGAATAAATAGAAAGACCAAAAGGTCTCCTGTGCAGCTTGTTATTAGCAGTGAAATGCAGCTCATCTGTTTCGGGCCACGTCCCTCTGGAAAGCCAGCGTTCAGAGCAGACCAGGTGCCATCCCCTGCAGTGCTGAAACTGGTGGGCCAGTACAACCCTTCATCACTGCACAAGACTGGTGTAAAGCCTGCCAGTTTAAGTGCGTTCCTCACTGGGACAAATTCTTTGTGGATTTTTGCCCGAGGCAAGAGGAACAAAAACAAAATTATAGGTGTATATACACACAAAAAGGAACCTTTTCTAATGCATTCTGCGCTGTGATTACTAGGAGATGCTCAGAGAAAGTCGAGAACTACATTCATAGTAGTGGGACCAGATTCTTACAGGCACTTAAATGCTAGCTTCTTGCATTCTAGGTAAATGCTTTGAATCTGGAGCTGCCAGCTCTGCCCTGTGGGTGGTTGCCCCTCCTGTTTTCTTGGGGGAGGCTCTCTGAAATGTCTCATTTTCGTCCTGGTCAGGAGGAGGTAGGATTGCTGATTGCTGATGCAGCCCGTCCCCAGCAAATTCCTGGGACAGAAAAATGCTTCCCACTTTGGCACACTGTATTTTGACTGTTTGGTATATTTGATATTCAGCTGCAGGCTAAAATCACATTTATTATGCTAGACCTTCAGCAGAGAGTTGATTGAGGTTTCAGTTTGGGCAACTGGAACGTGTGTTCAATGCTGATGATAAATGAGCGTGTGTAAGTACAGAGTTATTATTTTTGTTTATTCCTTAAAATGCTGTCTGGTCACCTGGGCTGCCTGCTGCAGGTGTGTCAGTGCTGAATGCTGTTGCCCTAGGCGTTTAACTCTCCCAGGAGCCACCTTTTTGGGCACGTGCTGCACAGCGTTGTTTGTATGGGTGACACATGGGAGGGCTGCTAGGACACAGAGTGCTGAACGCTCAGCTGTCCAGAACATCGATCTTTCTGCTAGCTTAATTAGCTTATTTTAACATTCCTCTTCATCCTGTGGGGCTTAGAACTGATGGGAGCTGGAGCTGCGGTTCCTACAGCTTGTTTCATGCCACTAATTATTGCCTGTAAGTGGATGGTACACTCCGCTGACAGCCTCTGCAGTGTGTTGGAGCAGTCGCTCTCCCTTCATTCGCTGTCAGAACTGTCTGAAACCTTCTCCTTCGAAGCAGCAGAATCTTTCAGTTCTTGCTGGGTGTTGCTTGGGCAAACTGGTGGAGCACTGCAGCTAGCACAGCCCTGCAACAGCATCGTGGTGCAGGCAAGCAGATCCAGTCCATGTGAAAGAAGGAGAGTCTGACTAAAATCACTGAAATTAAAAGCAAATGAGAGGCAGCCTTAAAGACAGGTGGTACCAGCAGCCCCCATCATATACCTTTCTCCCTGACAGTGGCCATTTCAGTGCCAGACTGCTGTTTGCATCCATGCTATCCATAGTATTTGTCCAGTGTATTCTGGTGAAAAATTTGCAATAGGGAGAGGGTGTGTAGGCAGGACACGCAGAAGAGCCTGCTTGAACAGGCTGGTTGCTGTTACTGCCCAAGCATTTCTCACAGAATGAAAGGCATCACAAGAGGGGGTTAGCAGTGTCTGTGGTGTAACCTCTGCTATTTAACGTGGGTCATGGGGGGAAGGCTTCAGACCCCCTGCTGTAGAATTATGTAGCATCTCAGTCCTTACAGTGTTGAGTTTGTGCTAAGCTACCTGAACAGGGACTAAATAGAGTGTGTATCTCTCTCTATTTTTTTTTTATAGGAACAGAGAGTTTTCCTTGTTTAACAACCACACAGAGCACCCTATCATCTGCTTGAACAGGTATGACCTTTTTTCTTGCTAGAATAGTTGCACAAGGAGGCTGCTTTACCTGGCTTTGAGAACAGAGCAAGAAAACTTCTCTAACTCCTGGAACACTTCATTTTTCTGGGGTTAGTTCCCACTTTCCCACTTGTGTTTATGTGTTTTTGTTTTAGTTCCTGCCTTGTTGTTTTTTTTTTATTTTCAAAGCTTCTTGTGTCTGATGGGAGCCACTGTGCCCATTGCCTACGGAGCTGTCTTCCAGGTTTGGTTAGCAAGGACCTGCTTACAGCTCAGGGTGGAGACAGTGTTAAGGTGGTGTTGATACTGAAGGAGAGCACCTGAAAGAGGTGACGGTGCTGCTTGCATGCAGCTCTGATTCAGCATGCCCTGTGCTGAGCTGTGCCACTGAAAATTTGGGAAGAGTTTGGCAGAGCAGTGATAAGCTAGTACTGCTCTGTCTTCAGAATTGAAAATGGTTGTGTTAGATCTGAGAAACGAACATTTTCTCTTCTTTGGAAGAAAGAAATCTTTCAAGAGAGCCCATCTCAGACAATTGAAAACTCTCTATGACACTTGAAGCCAAGTTTTATAGGGAATCTGCGTGGCCTTTGCTGTACTAATGAGCACATACTTGCTTTACCAGTGTTTCTTCATAGGTATTCATTGATTTAACTTACAGATAGACATAGTTACTTTTCACTCAAGCACAAGTTTGAAATGCTGAAGACAGGATTTTGAACTTCGGGATATAAGAGTGGAGGCTGGGGGAGAAAGCAGTTAATGGTGACTGATATTCATCAGAAGTGGGCAGTCCATTCTGGACCCTGTTTTACTGAAGTTATGCAAGGTGCTGTTTTTTGATGAGGGCCATGTGTGCCAGCCTCTCCTGTCCTGAGGGATGTGCTGCTGGAGAGGGGACGCAGGCTTCTCCCACCTTACGTGTATTTGCGCTTGCTTAAACACATTCTAACCCTAAACATCCAGGGGGGTTTTCTGGTGGCAGCAATGTGCCTGAGGATATGCCAGCACTTGGGAAAGGAACACTCAGCTCCTGGCATGCCCTGGGGCAGCACGGTGCTGCTTGTACTGATCCTGTGTGCTTCAGGAATTTTCCCATGGCCCCGAAGTACCCTTGCAGCCATGAGCGAGTACGAAATGGAAGATTAAATTAGCTGTGTAGATTTAAAGTAACAGGACGTTTCATTGCGGTCACCATTTCTTTGCTGGTGATAAAATTCTCAGACATCTGCTTCGCTAGGCTTAAGCAGTCTGTGCATGCCTCTTATTTAACTGATTGGTCTGAATTATTACTCTGAAATACGGAGAAGATGGTGGAGCACCCCATAGCCTCTTGGTGCTGCTCAGGTGTTTTAAGAAGAGGGCAAGTGGATTTGAAATGAAAGAGAAGGAAAGGCTTGTTCATCAGAACTAGTTTTTTCTGTGCAGGTTCACTGCATCAGTGATGGCATGGTAATATCTCATGAGCATGAGCTGTCCTTTGTCCCTATAAAGACAAAAACCACCTACTTTACACTAGTTTTCACTAGTAAAAATAATGAGTAGCAAGTGGGTGATGGGGAAAGCTTTGATAAAGGAGGTCAGGGCTCAGGGAAAGGAGCTTGTCCCAGTGCATCCTGTGCAAGGGCATCACCGGGGCTGGGCTTGGGTGGGCAGGGGAAGTGACACAACCAACAGGGTGGCACAGAGGGCTGCAGAAGGGTGACAGAAATCACATTGCAGAGCTGTGATGTCAGTGTAGCCTGTTCCTAACATTTAGAGCTGGAAGCTTGGCTTCAAAAGCAATATGGCTCTGTGATGGTGCTATGTTGATATGTTTATGGACAGCGTGGGACCAAGGTGGACCTGCAGCATGCTCAGAGAGAACACTGTGCCCCTGCTGGCTCTGCCTTCTCTTCTCCCACGCTGCTGGCTTGCATATCTCCTGCTTGGCACAGGGAGAGCTGCAAGGAGGCATCTCCACTAAGGACTGTGGAAGGGTTGAATAAGGCTCTTGGCACACCTGGTCTCATTTCCAGCATGGCATCCAGCCCTCCTTCAGCAGCAACCAGTCTTTTAAAAGTAGTCTCCTACTGACCAGTGGGCTGTTCTGCAACTGCACTGTGAGCTAGAAACCCCTCCCTAGCTTCCAGCTGAAATTTGTCAATGGCACAAAACCAGCCTTTGTGGTGTTTTTTTTTTTTTCACCTCCGTGTTTATCCTTTGTCACCATTCTACTTTTTTCTTGCTTTGAAGAGAGTGCTGTTATTGATTGTATAATCAACCTGCCTCTTTTCTCCTTTCTTGTGATCTTAATAGTCATTTTTTGCTCTCTCCTTTGAAAATGCCTGTTTTGAACAAAAGCCAGAACAGCAGAACCGACTTACTTGTATTTATCTGCTATCATCAGCATTTGCTGCATTTTGAAAGGCCTCAGGCATGGTTGTTAAGCCATGGAAAGGAAGGAGAATCTCCCCTGTCACTGGTAAATCGTGATGATGATGGTGCTGGTGTTAGTAATAATGCTACCTTTCACGCTGAGTCACTAGTAGGTGCTTCAAACCTGTTTACAGCCCAAAAGCAAGATTGTTCAGGGAGGAACTGACAGGCAGAGATGACATGACTTGCTGCAGCTTTTTGGTAAGCAGCACACCAGCTCTGTGGGCCCGGAGGTGGGCCAGAGAGCCTGGGGGAGAAGGGAAAAATGTCTTCCTTACTTTCCCCTGCAAAATGCTGAACAGTGATGGGTTGGTTTGCGGGACGAGGTTGGTGAGGAAGGAAAGCTGGACTGTTCTGTGCACTGCAGCTCATGCTCAGTGCTTTTGTAACGATCAGCAGCTGGCACCAGCACTAGGCCTTCGCACTGCTGTGCCATATTTCAGAGGAGCAAAAATAAGGAAGGTGAGCTGGTGTATCTAGCTCACATGGAAACTTAGGAGCAGTTGAGAAGCATATTTTCTTTTGCCTCTCTGGCTCTAAAGTCAACATAGTGCTTCCTGCAGCTCAAGAAGAGGTCCAGTGTGCTAATGTTGAATTTTCACATAGCTTCCTAGTGCTGAGTTCCATGGAAGTCTTCCATGAAGTGCCTGGCTGTGGCTGGTGGCAGGGCTGGGGTTGGAAGTCACTGCTGCCTGCCACGCCATCATGGAAAAAATGATCCCACTCCAAGAGGAGAGCTTTGAGTGTCTTTGTAGCACAAGTCATCGGCTGCTTCAGCAGTCCTGGCCCCTGTGGGCTCAGTGCTAGAAAATCTGATGCCCAGAGGTAGGGCTGAGATATTGGGCGTAAGCAGTGATGTTAGTAAATACGCTTCTGAAAAGAGGCAGTGGGAGTAATGGCAGTGCTGTGAGCGTTCTGGCACATGAGGGGTTTGTGAGTGGCACGGATTCGTTTGTGTTGAGGAGTGAAGCTTATGAGAAGAACAGATGTTTGAATCATAATGTTCTTTCCAGCACAGCTGATGAAAGAAAACTCCTCATAATCGTGACCAGAAACTATTCTAGTTGTCATCCTTAAGATGAGTCATTTTTTTCCCTCCTTTCTAACCCCTCCGAGACTTGGGTTCCTTCTGAAACAGGAAGTTATGAATCAGTCCGTTCTCTGACTGACACGCTGGGCAGCTGGAAGAATTGCATAGGGAGTGGGATAACAGTGCAGGAACCGTGCTCTGCTGGGGGCTTCTCGTGTAAAGGGAAAGCTTGACATTAGAGAGACAGCTTGTTCTTGTCTTTGTTTTCCAGATCATCTTCAAATTTGTTATCAGAAGGCTCCAGGACATTTCTGTAATAAAACTGGCAGTTTGCCTGTTTGGCCTTTTGCTGTGTTTGTGTGCGATGTGTGGGGATCTCAAGGTGCTCAATCAACAACCCTTTCTTATCAATTAGTTGATAATGTTACCCCTACCTATGTCTGTAAGAGTCCTCTGTAGCATGCTGTATCCTCCTTTCAGTTAAAACCTTTTTGTGCAAAAAATTTTTTTCCTTGCTTATACAATTACATAATTTTGCTGTGAGAAACTGTAAGAACACAGAAGGAGCCTGCTTCCACTTTATGAATGGAATGAAAACAGAATTAGACACAGCAGGATCAAGTCTAGGGTTAATGGCAGTGTGCCTGGGAGCGAGCTACTGTGTGCAACAGTTTTTGCTGTGACTCTTGTTAACGCTCTGCGATTCAGTGCTCTAAGCACCATAATATTAGTAACTAGGTGTCCAAGTCTGCCTTAGATCACTGTTGTGTTAGATGCTGTGTGCTCCAACAGTGGAGTTATTCCAGAGCCCAGAGAGCTTACACTCAGACGTAGGAAGAGAGACAGAGATGTGAGAAGCAGGCAACATGCTGGTGAGACCATGTTTGCTGGTGTAATTACCAGCTGAGAGACCCTGTAGTTCATGCTGGGAAATCGTAGATGGAAATCAGTACTCATGTGTTGCAGCTCACTTGGGACATAGCAGCATGAAAACACATACATTATGCAGCTAGCTAGGGATCTAATTCTGTTTTATTTGTGGGTTGTTTTTTTTGTTTTCCTTCTTAAAATCCAGTGTATTGAGAGTTAGGTAATACACAGCACCGTTCTCTCTGCGGTTTAGCATGTTTTCCATTAGGAATATGTTTTTCTAATTCAGTGACAGTTCAGTTACTGATGCAGCTCCACGTTCTACGTATTGACCAATGCAGCAGATAACTGAAATGGACAAAATGGTTCAGCTCCATTAAAAATTAAGCTGAAGGTTTGCCCCAAATGGAATCAGACGCCGTCTCCTCTTTTTCCCCAAGTGCAGAATTTAGACGTTTTATTTCAACTAGCAGTAGAAATAGCAAATTAAACAAAGATAAGCTTTTTTTAATTTTTTTTTTCTGACCTGAACAATGTAAGGAAGATCTGGTAAAGCATTCCTTCTGCACCTTGAATGTTTCTGTACCTTTCAGAGGAAATCTACTTTGAAATGCTTGGCGTTGAGTCTTCATACTGATTTGAGTTCAGTTGAAATGATTGGTGGTATTTGGCAGTGTAGGTT